ATCTAAACACTCGCGAAATTCGAAACCTTCCGAGTTAACGAATCGAACGATTTACACCAAGAGTTAGATGCGAGATGACAACTCATATTCTTCCCTCTACATCTAAAAACAAGACACTAATTTCATACTTAGAAAGTATTTCTTATTAGAAAGTCTTCAAATACACACCGCCTAGCGGTAGGGATTCAAAGCCACCAACGGCCAGTCCCGGAAAAACAACGACGAAATCATAAAAGCAATAACATCACACACTGAAGTCATCAAACGCGGTCTGATCAACTTCGCCCTCTACATCCGAGATCCCAGGTCCGACCTCGACCGAATCCGGCGACACCACAATGGGGTTCCACTGATCCCACATGCGCGCCCTAAGATCAAAAAGTTCGGGCTGCATGTCTTTCTTCTGACCCAGATGCCTCGACCACGCGGATTATTCCTCGGTAAACGAATACCCTTCGTTCTGAGTAAGGGACAACCCATGAATGACACCGCGACATTCGCGATAATCATCATGCACCCGTTGAGCAACTTCAGCATCCGAACAGCCAGTTGCAAACCGCTCACGACGGGCCCTCATCTCCTCAGCAACCTCTCGTTTGCCTGCACGACGAGCACGACAAATTCTTTGGTCGGAAAGCTCCTTAGCACGGCAAGATCTAGCCGCACACTCATCCGTCACGCGAGCTATTTCCCTCTCAATCGTTTCTTCGGCTTGGTTAGCCTCAACCTCCGCCGAAGACGAGCGACTTCTTTTTCGGCCATATCTGTTCGAAACTCGGCAAGACGAGCTTCAGCACTACGGCTGTCTAGGGCCCGGCTCATGACAAGGAAACCCTGCCAAAGAAAAGAAGTAAGCGAAATCATCCGACGATAAAATCATTCGAAAAAAATAATAATAAACACATGAACCTCTTTAGCTTGCTCAGACCCTCTAGTAAACACCGGGACTTGATCATGATCAACGCCCGGAAAATGGGAGGTCGACGATCCGCCCGCATTCGTCAAGACACCTTCTTCTGCTTGACTATCAAGGAAGTCCTTGAGAATATTGTCTGGAGAGGCCGTACGTTCAGATTCGTCATCATCAACAACCGGATGTTTATCCCTTCGGACTCTTGACTTACCCTCCTCATTGAGGAAACATACGGGATAAATTCTCCTATAAACGGATCCTCTTCATAAATCGGAGAATCCACAAAAAGCCGAGATCAGAAGAGAGCAACCGCCCGGCGAACACGCTGCGGAGAAAAACTGTCCCAGCCAACTTCCCCGCGCTTAAGTGATATTCGGGAGATCTACCGGATGCGGAGGTAAAGGGTTGGTCTCTGCGGAAAACAAAAACGAATAAAAAAAGCAAAGCAGAAGAAGGAGAAAATTTGTATGAACTCGAATCACATATGATAGAACCAAAATAAGGAGGATCACTTTAGCTGGGTGTTTGATATGAACCGAGAAGGCAAACGGAACTTCTCGAACTGAGATGGATTGAAAGGATCGTCAAGAGATGCGGAATGGCTCTTGATATACCCACAATCTAAGGCTAGCCACCTAAGAAATGATGAATGTGTTGGCTAACCACTAAACAACACACAAAGATGAAATGGCTGACCACCAAATCAACAAGCCGGTTCACACCAATGAACTAGCTAAAGAACTCTCTCTCTCTCACTCAGAGAAGAACAAAATTAAACTCAAAAACATAGACTTATTTTATTCATAGAAGAGTTTACATATTTATACTACTTGTGATCAAAAGAAATGAAGAGTTTTTGTAGAAAACTAGAAACTTAGAAAACACAAACAAAGACTAAGACTTTTGACTAGAAATAAGTGTGTTGTTGAATGCCCCTTATAGACCACGACTTTGACTCCTTTTGTTGATATTTCTTGATGCAAATGGGCAGAATGCCATCAGCAAAGGCCTGGTCGAATTTGGTGTAAAACGGACCCAAATTGAATTTGTTATGAATTTTTTCGTGGGCTGAAAAAGGTCCATTTCGCCCAGCAACTAAACCAGCTCCATCTTCAGTGTCACTTAGCTCACTCAGCTCATCCAGCTCACCCAAGTAAGTGTCATCTGATNAATTTGTTATGAATTTTTTCGTGGGCTGAAAAAGGTCCATTTCGCCCAGCAACTAAACCAGCTCCATCTTCAGTGTCACTTAGCTCACTCAGCTCATCCAGCTCACCCAAGTAAGTGTCATCTGATGGGGAAACCTCGGTTGAATCGAGTTGGTCGACAAGATCGTCTCCTTGGGCCGGTTCTATGATCCGAGCAGGTCAGTGCTCGAACCGGGGCGCATCAACATACCTTTCCAAGCCCACACGGTCGTGAAAAACGGGATACAATCCTCCTCGACTGACGCACTGTCAATACGAACATAGAAGAAATTTTTCTTCCAAGAAGAAGAGTTCGATGAGCAACCAGTGACGATTCCTTCACGAGGGCACAAAGTGATCCTCTGCGTCTTCTCTGTGGGATTCAGTAGACCCTCGAGATGGTCAACGCTGAGGGTGATTCCCTGCTCGTAGCTCAGCGTCAAAAGACCAACGAGTTGTTTTAAACCGGGGGGAGTCAACTGACTGATCGATAATCCCAGCCTATGAAGATATCGAACAATGACCTCCGGGATCGGAAACCATAAGTGGCATTGCTGCAATAAAGCGTTGTAGCACGTAAAAAAGCCATCAGGCGCAGCCTTGTCGCTCTCCCCGGCAAGTGGGATGCAAAACTCGACCGCTTCTGGAACTCGGCAAAATTCTCGCATGGATTCAATACTGTTAGGAGGAGCTGAGTTCAGACATCCGGAAGCTTGATCGGCCTCTGTCAGAGCTGGGACCCAAATCCCAGGCCTAGCGGATCCCGACTCGTCTCCCAACGCCCAAAAAGCCGCACGGTCTGCTGGATCGATTGACGGAAACGAGCACTCCTCTGTAGGAACCGAAACTCGAGGTTGCGAGCTCGATCCCTCGGAGTTACGAGAATCGGAACTGGTTGAGGAACGAGTTCTTCTTTTTGAAAACATACTTGAAAACTTTGGGAGAAATAAATTCAAAGGAATTAGAGAGAAAGTTTCTTGGACAAGTTATGGAGAATGAAGTAAAGAATTCAAAAAATTTACTTCATTTACTTATAAGAAAAATTTTACTATTCACCTTTGGACTTTTGGCCATTAAAGTTCCGCCTAATTCTACCAAACTCGCCAAACAAGCTCGATCCGCTCGCAAGAACTCAACGATTCTTACGAGCTGGGGGGCTAACTGTTAAGGTCAAATCGGTACGACGGAATCAACAGCCAAAACTCCCCGCAGAAATATAAAAGAACCGTTTTATAAAACTCGAGGAATCGTTTTATAAAACTCGAGGGTCGTTTTATAAAACTCGAAGAATCGTTTCATAAAACTCGAGAATCATTTTATAAAACTCGAGGATCATTTTATAAAACTCGAAGAATCGTTTTAAAAAACTCGAAGAATCATTTTATAAAACTCGAGAATCGTTTTATAAAACTCGAGGATCGTTTTATAAAACTCGAAGAATCGTTTTATAAAACTCGAGAATTGTTTTATAAAACTCGAGGATCGTTTTATAAAACTCGAAGAATCGTTTTAAAAAACTCGGGAATCGTTTTATAAAACTTGAAGAATCATTTTATAAAACTCGAAGAATCATTTTATAAAACTCGAAGAATAATTTTACAAAACCGCCGTAAAACGCGAACTAGCCCCGTCCCGGCTAGTTCGCCCAACGGCGAACTAAGCCAAGCCGGCTTAGTTAGCCGTTGGGCGAACTAGCCTCGTCTCGACTAGTTCGCCGTTGGGCGAACTAGAAGCTTCCGGGACAGTTCGCCGACTGGCAAGCTGGACCGGTCCGGCTCGGTTTGCCGTACGTTGAACCGACCATCCCGAGCTTCGATCTCCCGCATCCCCGAGTCAGTGCTTACGTCCTTCGACACGGTCGTGTTCCGAACTACGGTCGAAATGTCTCCCATTTCGTCTCGATCCGACCTATCATTCGAGTTTTACGATAAAAACCGTAAAACTTTGTTTTCTCGAAAAGAACTCGAGGGAATCGTATAAAACGGCAACGGTTAAACGAGACACCGAACATTGCCTAAACTATACGATTTATTCGAGATTTTTCGTTAAAATCATAAAAAACGCGTTTTTAATAAAAACGTCGAGAAAATCGTAAAAAATGGCAATGATTAACCGAGAAACGAACGTAGCTAAATTTTACGATTAACTCGGGGAATTTACTAAAAATGGTATTGGATCAGGAAACGATCTCGTATAAAGTCGTAAAACGGATTTATCGTAAAACGGCCCGAAAGGTCCTAAAACGCGATAAAAGCCCATCTCGCGATCTTAACGAAATCTAACCCGAAGACACGATAACGTTTTGATGGTTTACTCGCAGAAGGAAGATAAATGTCAAATTTGAAGATAAATGGCAAGTTTGGATATAAGTAGAAGATTTCCGCAAGAAAAAAGGAAGGATCAAGATAAATGGAAAATTCTCGATAAACTCGAATTTGGGCAAAATGGAAAGGCTAAAACCGCCTAGGAGGGGAGTATATAAGCAAGAGGCATAGGACAGAAGCAGGGACACGATTTTCAGAGCTTTCACCACCAAATTTAGCATTTAGGAATATTTTCGTTTTCTGTTATCGAGCTGCGTCTCAACTATAATTTTCGGTCTTAGACTTCTAGAGCTAGGGATTTCGCCGACGGCTCACGCAGCTAAGGCCACTCTCGTTGTAGCGGTTCTTACACCGATTCGGAATAAAAACCTTCTTAATCTCAATTTTGTTCATTCATACTTTAATTTTAAGTTCATCGTTTTTATTAATTCTCGTAGTGCGGTTCTGCAGATAGTCGGCTCCTCTGGAAACTTAGGGTTTACTCGAAGTTTCCTTATTTACAATTTATTGACCGTAGGTGAATTTTGGTTCCCATACAGGTTGGTAACATGTGTCTTTAACCCCCTTCGCACACCACTAGCTCTGCCACTAAGCTAAATTCATCAAAAAGATTTTTGAAAATACAGCTAAAAAAATTTCTACCAAAACCATATGGGTCATTTGACCCCTTTGGCACAGCACTGGCTCCACCACTGGCCATTGAGTGTATGTTCGGGTATCCATTTGGATTTGAATTGGTTATTTTAATTTTTTGAGTATTTTGGTATAAAGATATATAACCCGTTTAGATATTTTTACATATCGAATTGGGTTCGGATATTTTTAGTTCAGGTTTATTATTTTGGATCGTTCGGATATTAAGATTTGAAAAAAAAAGAAATTCAAAATTTTCATTCTTCAAATATCTTACTTGTACTTCAATTTTACCATTAATTTAATCGATTTCTTAATTTTTAAAACTTTGGATGATTAAGAAGTTTTGGAAATAAAATTTTGAATATAGAAAGACATCAAATTATTTATGTTATTAGATTTGGAAATGTAACTTTTGTTAGTGCAAAAAAATTTGACATACATTTTAAGTGAGTATTGAATTACGTTGTTTGTAATTATTATATATTATCTGATTTTAAGTAATGAACAATATTAAAATAAATATTTTGATAAAATAATATAAATAGACTAGGAATATATATATATATATATATATATATGTTTGATTATCTTTCGATATCTATTTAGATTGAGATATTACGTGTTTGGGTTTGGATATCCAATATCTCATAATTCAATATATGTTCAGATATTTTGTAATTTCAGCTCGGATTCGGATTGGATACGAATACGGGTATTGGATAAAATGCATATCCCTATGCAGTGATTATCTATCTACAAATCTAACCGATCCGGTTTCATTAATTTACCTGGGCCGCACCGAATGGAGCACTTGCGATCGAATCGGGCCGTCTTTCTTGCTGGAGAGGAAAAAAATATATTAAAAACAATTTTTTTTTCTTTGTAAGATCTCGACTCTGGAATTCATATTAAACTAGATCTCGACCAGCATAACCGTGCGGGTATTTTAATACTAAAATATTTAAATTATATAATAAATTTATCAATAAATATAATTTGATGTTATATACTATTTAAATGTATAATAATGTTTATGGAGCTTATAATATTATTAATATAAAACTTATAAAATTTGTATTTTTGTAAAAAAATGTTAAAACATTATTATGTAACATCACAAATTTATATATTTTGTTTTATTTCTAAATTTGAAATATATGTAAACAATAAATTAAGTTGGACCTACATAATACATAAGCAAATTTTTGGGATAGTATTAAAAGTATTTTACATAATTTTAATTTCTGTTTATAAATCAAAAATGAATTAAAAAATTAATTGTATTTTTTTAATAATTTTCGAAAATATATCCTAAAAAGATTCTAAAAGATTTTGCTAGATTTTCCTAAAAATAATATTTATTTGTATTTCAAATAAAAATTAAAGATATGAAAAGATATTATAATGATGTTATGTAAGATTTTATAAATTTTCTAAAGATGGTCCAAACTACAAAATCACACATGAAATGAGTCATGACTTCTGTTTTAATATAATAGATGGAAAGAAAAACTTATTGGGAAATTGACAAACAAGAAAGTGCTCACAGTCGCGCTGGACACAGCCCGTGGAGCAACCATCGTAGCAGTCTCCGGGGCCTAACTGAGCCTCCACAACCATATCCAAGTTGGAACATAAAGCCATTAGAATCAGAAGAACCGGTACTATTGTCACTTGCTTCTTCATTATTGCTAGGGATGGATAAAGAATCCTTAGTTTATTTTATTATTTAATGTTAACAAACAAATGTAAGAGACAATCATAAAATAGTAGATTATTGCTAGGATTTTTAGATGTTTCTTAGTAAATTATTTTTTTGTTTAGCTACAAAAAAAAAGATAGAAACCACAATAAACCAAATTACAGCCAACAACACGTGAACTAATTGCAACAAATCGCTTCACAAAACGAGAACTCAAAAAGTCTTGTGAATTGGAAACTGTTTATCCACTTGCACCAGTTATCTATCAATCTATATCTTTATTATCATTATCTTTCGTTGAAATAACTACACAGAGCGAGAGCTATTGAAGAAGAACAAAATTAAATTTCCTGAGCATACCCATTTGAATCCTTCTTTGTCTTGAAAAGATACACCTATTATGCTTTCTCCAAGGTTAGCAATCTAGGAAGCTAGTACACATACAGCTGCTTCTGGAGGAGTTATCTGTTTTCAACAGAACCAAAAGAAAAAGAAACTTGCAATTATATAGTGACTCAGTAAATGTTCAATGTATATCAGATTTTGACAGTTGAAAATGTGCAATCAGACAAATAAATTTAAGTATCCAACTTTCATTTCATGTGGAAGTCTATGAATCTTACTACCAGTGCAATCAGTTTTACGGTTTCTTTATCTCATCTAGCAAAATAACATAGATACTTTCACATTCCTCAACAACGATATTAAGTAACGTCTACTACCTGACCAAGGAAACAGCCAACAGAGACAAAAAAAAAATGATGCTAAAAGCCCAGCCAATGTTCCTTCAACACTCATAGCTCCCTCGGTTCCTCTTGGTACTATCTTAAATGTAATGGCTAAATACCTGAAAATTTGCACCAGTTAGTAATGTAATAGGAAAAAACCCATGTAGAACACTTCAGTAGCTGTATTCATGCTTATGCCATCGCAAGTTTAATTCAGCAGAAAACTGACCCTAATCTTAGCTACTTGCTCCAAGTAACACAAACCGTTACAGAAAAGGAACCAGCTCAGAAAGAGTAGCATACTCACGTAGTTTTTCAAAAAGCTTTCCCAATCTTGCTGGAGACGGTGTCAGACACTTTAGTGCAGAAACTGGAAACGAAAACAAGGCGAAAAAGCTGAGAAAAAGCTGATCCCCTCCCACTTGATATAACACAACCAGGAGCACTTGAACCAATCACACTGCATGGTCCTCTTCTACCTTTTTTTCTTCTCAGCCACGCCTTGTGCTTCCTTCTCGGACATTTTAACCTTTGTTGCCGCTGTTCCCTGTGACATTGGAAAATCATCTAAACCAACTTCAACGCCAGAATAGTGAATTGCAAACTTAATGTTACTCTTTCCAGCTCTATGTCCATGAAACATGACACAAGAGTCTAAAGCTTTAAGGAAATCAACAAAAATAGAGATGAATCATCTCAATGTTGAGCATGATCACACGACCAAGCTCCTTAAAACTCAAGTTTCAATCTTCTACAGAGATAGTACACTGCCTATTACAAAATCTCTCCTACATTGGTGTCTAACACTTGAATACATTTTCAAAACCAATAATCAAGATCCAAATACTATGTGTTTGGAACCTTATTCACAACCCCTATACGACTTAACTCCTTAATCTCAAGTTTCAATCTACACACTGCCTATTACAAATGCTCTTCCTACAAGAATCTCCATCACTTGAATAAATTTTCAAAACCAATAATAAAGACTATGTCTTTTGAGCATAATCAGAGGATCTAGCTCCTTAATCTCTAGTTTCAATCTACAAAGACAACACATTTCCTATTACCAAAGCTCTTCCTACAACGTCTCAGCCACTTGAATACATTATCAAAACCAATAATAAAGACTCTGCCTTTGAAACCTAATTCACAAACCCAACACAGCCAATAAACTACGATCAAGTTACATTTACAAGTGAACTTACAATGACGAAATAAGCAGCGACTAATAGAAACCCAGCAGAGCCATAAGCTCTGCAAGAGAAATCAGCGGAGAGTCTCTTCGTCGTCCTCAATCTGGTTTTGTCTTCGGAAGATCGAGAAAGAGAGGAGAGAGACGGTCCGAAACGTATCAACTTCCCCTTATTCGATGACGTATCAGAACGCGCCACGTCACCTAAAAACGAGTCCGTTTTGTTTCTTAATTAAGGTCCGTTTCACTTGTTTCTCTGTCTTTTTCATTTAATTTTAGACCCAAAATTATAAGAAATTGCGCAAAAGACGAACGATAATCATGCTCTTAGATCTCCTTTGTTTTTGGTTTGTTTTTCTTCTCTCTATCTTTACAAGTGAGATTTTCTGGGTATTTATAGAAGTGTCTCGTTGCCAAGCTTGACGAAACGTGTCATACTTCTTCTCCCAACGTTACCTATCCCAAAACTGTCCTACTGTTTTTTTTTTTTGTTCCACTGCTTTATTAGATCGACGGTGGACCAGTAATGGTTATGCCACTTAACTACTTAAGTGATAATCAGCTGCAGATGTTTTTTTTTTTGGGAGAAAATATGGCTAGAATATGATATCTAGTATAAGAAATAGTAACAAAACTTTAAAAATACTATAAAAAATATTTAAAATTTACGGTGGCACTTGCAAACTTATTGGCTCACGTACAATAACCTACCATATCACATAAAAGCGTATATAATAAACCCAATAAAAAATTTCATGAGTAATTTGAAATAGTTGTCACAAATTTTCACTATGAAGATACTACTAAGCTCGCACAATAGCCAATATGATGATCCAATATAAGTTCCCATAATTCATATATATATATGATGTTTTAAGCTTTTGTGTAGATAACTTGGCTGCCTAAAGAGCAGCCTCCTTCTTGTATTTATGAATATCAATATAGAATCATCTTTATCATGGTGAAAGCTTAATTTTTTATTTTCATTTATTTTCTTACATATGAATAAAAAGTATTTTTGAAAAAGCGCATTCAGTTGAAGATATGAATAAAGTTCTATTAGGTATTTCTATCTCTCAATAAGACTTTTATGAGTCTAATCTATCTTGCTAAGGATTTACTCACATATACGACCGCTCAGGATAGAAAATAGCTTCTTAAGGGTTTTAATATTGAAGTCAGGGTGACAAAATGAAAAATATTATTGTCCAAATTCTCCGTCTAATAGTCCATATCTCTACCATTTCTACGAAGGACTTTATTTGATGATGCAATTATATGGTTGGTTCACGGGACATCTCTATTATTTACTGCTGAGAGATGGCCAAGGTTTACTTCTTTGGTATTCTTGTTTGTTTCAACGTGGTCCGATGTTGTAGAGGCACTCTTTGCTTCCTTCATTTTACACCATATAACTAGGTATACACCTCCCACCATTATCATTGCACCAATTATACTGTACGTTCCGCAAAATTAATAGTAAATGAAATTTACATACTATATATTATATATTTATCATACACAAAAACAGTAGTTTGATGGAACACTACATGCATGATTTTGGTGTACCTTCCCAAATGAAGCGTTTCCTCTAAAGCAAATGATCCGGCGAGGGCTACGATCACAAGCCTTATAGGGGCAAACATTGTAACATATAGCGGTCCTTTTGTTTTAACGCACCACGCAATAACAGGTATGACCATTCCTGAAACCACGACTCCCTTACAAGTCGCGGATAAGATTATCAATTAAAAACGTATATCAAACTCTCACACACACATGTCTTAAATGAACCTTAATCATTGGGTAGATTGTTGTTATACCGAATAAACCGTAGCAAGAAGGCTAATGTTCCATCCTAATCGCCATTGCTTCCAGTTACGCTCTGAACAGAGAGCAACAATCATGCACACCAAGCTTCCCATCCCATTCATCAGACTTACGTTCCAATAACTTCCTCCAAGTTGATCGCCTATTTTTGCCTGTAAAAAAAAAATTTACTGTCTCTTGAAATATCTTATCAAATATCAACGCCTAAAGCATGAAAAAAAAAACACTTTACGTTTCTTGAAACCTGATTGTTATATAAAGGGTTCTTTTTCAACAGCTTTAATTATATTTTGTATATATATATATACCTGGGTAAATAAAAATACATGTGTACTTCACAAAGAAAATGTATTTAGTTGTAACTATCAATATAAATGTCTAGGAAGTAATATGATAACTTTCTATTCAGATTTGGGATGCAAAGAATGTCGTATATGTTAGAGTTTTCTTCTTTTTATAATAATTGTTTGATATATAAAAAAAAAAATTAGCACTTGCCTGCAATATTAACCAAAGTGAGAAGGAAACGTTACATCCAAAAACCATAAGAACTCCTGGAATTGAGATGTGGTGATTCTCAGTGGCTTGGCCAGAAGATTGACCAGCGTTCGAGTTTTTAAGTAAGTCAACGTGTGTTGACCAGATATGAATCTCAACACCTTTATAGAATACAAATACGAGAGCCCCACCAGCACCAAGTAACGTCCCCACAAGCTTAGCCCTCCCTTCCTTCGTTCCCAGCCGTAGAGTCTCTATCCTGTTTAATCAGATTTAAAAAGTATGATTTATTAGCCTTTAAACTTCTCCTCAGCTATTTTTTATTTATTTAAATAATTGGGCCAAGTTTGCAAATGAAGTAACCCTTGTTTCACAAAAAAAACAGCCCTTTTCATATATTCCCCCAGTTTTAAGAAGTTCCATTCATAACACGAATGGAAAAAAAAAGATTACCGATTGTGAAAATAATTCAAATATTCAAAATTTAAGATCTTTAACAAAAACATCATTAATTATTTAACTAATAAAATTGACCGCATAATGCTAATAGTCCTATAACTTGGAAAATCTATGAATTTTACATTTAAAACCAAAAATGTCATCCAATTATAACAAAAGAAATAATTTTTTTTTTAAATGTCGAGTATTTGTAAACGAAGGAAGTATATTTTTTTGGAACCAAATGAATAGATCGTACTCGTCCAAGAGGTATTGTTTAGCATTTGATGTGCTTACCTAAAAGCCACTGACAATACCAAGGTGATCAACGGACCCAGGATACTGGCCGCGGTCGAAAATGTAGCTGATGTAAGAGCTAGACCCGGCAAATAGAGAAGATTTGGTATCGCCGCTCTGTTAAGTAATCAGTAAAATGAATCGCATCATTTAAGAAATTTCACGTGTATATATATAATAGTTTATAATCGTCAGTAACAGTTCAAATGAAATTATTGTACTAAGTTCTAAGTACCCGAGCATCCCCGAAAGAAATGCTAGAAAGAGCAGTCTCCATGTAAATTCTGGCCGCTTATCCCTGATCACATGAAATTCAAAACAAAACGTTTGATCAAAATAACATCTGAGTATTTGATTTCTTGATATGAACACGCACACAAATGACTAAGTGAAGTGAATATGTAAATTATTTTCTTCATTTGTCTCAAGATGTGTTTAAATCCGGCTTTCGCATATATAAGATTATATATTTTAATACAATGCGAATAATAACAACTATATAAAAATGAAACAAAAAGGAAACCTTTGGAAGATGAGGGCGAGTGGAAGCATGGAAATAGTGGCGAAGGAGAGACGATAAGCCACAACGACTTTGAGATTTGTACCATCATCGACCGTTAGCTTAAACAAAATGTACATTCCTGCGAAAATAAACTGGACCACCAGCATTATAAGTATAGCTTTAACTTCTTTCAACATATCTTCAGTTTGCCCAACAAGTTCTATGTTGCAGTCAAACCATTAACTATCCCTTGCAGATGGATGAGATCCTATATCAGCTTTATTTATCTAGCCAATCTTTTCCTTTTATTCTACACCTATACTTTTTTCAATGTGCTCCACTTCAGTTTTAGAGACCATGAGAGAAATTAAGTAATGTAAGAAGATGTAAAATTCAAGTGCTTGTTTATGGAAAACCGGTGAACAAAGTAATCTTTGAAGGCTTAGTGAGCATGGAAGAGATGTTAATGTATTATAATGCAAATATATGATGAAAGAGGGAAATAGAATACGTAAGTAGTGAAGCGGTTATGCATAATAAAAGGAAGAACTATTTACTAATGATTTGACCTCCACGAGATCTCAAGAGCGTTGCAGAAGCATCTTTTGTGGTCTTTGCAAAAGCATCTTTTTCGCCTTTTATTATATATAAAAAAAAAAGAGAAACAAAATATTGGACATGTACATTGCCTTGGTGCCGCAACCATTAGTTTGCATGCTCAAGGTAATGCGTTTTATTAACATTGTTAGTTGTAAATTTTACGAAGATTTAAAGAAAATTAAAAGCGACATATTAGGTTGAAGTTGACACGTACTAAGCATGCTCAATGCTTCCCTTCCGTGTCTTCCCACACAAGAGACTTCCAAAAGAGAATTAAAGGCTTGGTAGAGGCATGCACACTTGGTAAAGATCCAAAATTGGAAGTTTTGGGTTTGGATACTCTTCCATTTTTCTAATATGTTTCATCTAATTGACAAAACAATTGTTCCAGTCATTGTCAATGGAAATATGATATCTCATCAAAAGTATATTATAATATTATTATTATTATATAAGAACTTTCATTCAAAAATATTTGAAAATATCTACCCATCTAATAAAATATTTTTCAAAACAAAATTATATTATTATGAGCTACTTTTATAGTGAATTTGGCAGCCTTAACGGTAGGTTCTCAACGAGGTTTTATGATTGTATTACTTGCAAACATTAAACTGTAGGAAAGAGAGTGTAGAAAACTTCTATGCAGAGAAATTTGAAAATAAAAGTGACGATACTTTCCTAACACGTGTCACCTTTTATTCATCTAATTTTTTTTACTTCAAATTTAAATAACAAAATTAAAACAATTGTGTGAGATATATTATGGATATCTACCGTTCCTTATGTTCTAATAGTCACTAGATTTTGACCCGAGTTTTAAAAGCGCGGATATAATTTTACTATTTTGATCAAATTTGATTGATTTTATAAATTTTATTAAAACAAATACTTTTAAATTTATTATATTAGTCTTTCCAATTTATTTTATTATATTTAATTTCCAGGAAATGTTTTGATATCGGACTTAGATTGTAGTTGAACCGATAGATCCGACGACCTGTTTTTAATCCGGTTCAGATTTAATAAAAAAAATTACTTAAAATTTTAGATAAAACCTTGAAAAATTCAAAATATGCTATCAACCCATGATCTGATATTATATGATTCGCTGAAAACAAAAAAAAAATTGATTATTTTATTAAATTACTCATACATTTTGATATTATATAAGGCTGAAATTTGTAATATCTTATACTTTGACGAATTTTTATTAAGTCATTTGAAAAAATGAAATAATGGTAATAATAAGTAAAATATATTGATATGACAATATTAGTTTCTTTTCATTTTAATAACTTATGAAATTTATTTTTGTTTATTTCAGATGAAAATTTAATTTTATAATAAATTTTATAATATTTTTGAAAATTCAAAATGGAAAAATGACATGGTAAATAATATTTTTAATTTTCCTATATATATATATATATTAAAATTTTATTGTTAAATAATACTAAGCAAGAAAAATAATATTCAAATTAATGAAAGGTATTATTTACATAAAGTTCGAATTAATATTATTTACAAATTATGGATAGCATTAGTTACCAAAAATTTAGGATAAATTCTGTTGTTTAGTTTAAATAATAACTAGATTTTGACCCGCGCTTGAAAGCGCGGAAAATTTTTTTGATTAAAAGTTTATATAATTAGGTTTTGTCTTTATTTAAAGTATGTTTGGTATAAAATATGTAATCCAAAATTTGTGGTGATTATTGCTTTGCATTAGGTTTTAGTTTCAGTTTCAGTTTTTATTTTTAGATTTGGTTTTAGATTTTGGTTTTTGATTTTTAATTTTTAAGTTTCCAGTTTTGATTTCCAGCTTTTGGTTTGGATTTTTAGCTTTTAGATCCGCTAAGTTAGTTTGAACTCATAATTACCAACAAACAAATCCCGAAGAATCGAATATCTAATTTAAAACTGAAAAGATGAGAATTTTTATTTTTAAAAAATGCAATAGTTTATTTTGTGTAAATAAACAAAAAAAATCAAAAATATAACATGCGTTTTCAGCTTTTGGTTTTGGATTTTAATTTTTAGATTTGGTTTTTAGTTTTGCTTACATTTATTGTTTTAAAATCAGTAAATTGTTTAAGAAAAAAAACTATTATAAAAGTTACCATTGAAATTTATCAAGATGGAGTGATTGTTATTTTAAATAAAAAATATTAACATGTTTTAAAGTACATGATTTAAATAAGTGATTAATAATAAATAATTTTGTTTTGTTAAAATAGTAAATATTTTTGGGCCTTAAAATAGTAATTGATTTTTTGATCCATTAATGTAGATTCAATGTTTTTTGATTTTTTCTTTAATATTAAGCCCAAAACCTAAACTATATAATTTGTCATAAAAACAACAGTAAGCCCAACACTATATTCCATAAATAACTGTCAGTTTAATTTAAGTAATGCGGTTTAATCAACTATATGACTTGTATTATTTGTAACACTCTAGAAAATATCCAAATTTAAATGACAACTTATATCAGTAGATAAAAAGAATGACTCTATTTTTATAGAGTAGATATAGATATTAAAATTAAATGTCAGTGGCATAGTAATGTAAATAACTTGAAAAAATAAGAGCATAATCTTAGTAGGAATTCTGTTTTAATAGTATAGATGTTCTCCTAGTATGAGTATATGGCAATAAATGCTCTAACAAAAAAAATATGTTAGTTATATAATAATATTTTATTTTCTAAAATCAGCTAAAATATTGAATAGACGACCATCTCATTGGATCTGTTTCATGATTTTGACAAAAGTTTCTTCTGCAGAACCGTTTCTGACTTCTAACATGAGTTTCTCTCTAGACAAAAGAAAGCTAACCTTGAAAAGGTCATTCACAAGAGAATTCGAAAAGAGAGAAAAACGCTCCTGCTTTAATAAGCAACATGCGTAAAGCCATGTACACTTGGTAAAGATCCAAATTTGGAAGTTTTGGATTTGGATTCTCTTCAATTTTTTAATATGTTTCATTTGATTCACATAATGTTATATAGATCATAGATCCAATGGGTTATCCAGAATACATCGTTAGAAATAGGAAGTTAACTATTCGAAGTGGTTTAGTTTTTTTTTTCTTGGTCTAATCGGAGTGGTTTAGTTGTAGGCGGACTTCGCAGAGATCAAGAGTCGAAGCAACCCCATAAAAGTAAATCTATATAGTCACGTAAATACGTGAATATATAGTGAAGTGGTTTGATTTATAATTATATATAATAAAAACTAGCTAATAATTTGCACTTTGCACGGAATCAAATTATTAATTTTAATATTTCTTAAGATAAAAAATATTATTTTAATCAGGATATTGGTTTGATTTTAGGTTAGTTTTTTCAATTTATTAAAATATAATTACTATTTTTAATTAATATTTATTATGTTTATTAGGTTAAAATGTTTGAGGTGTTTTAGATTTTTTAATGATAACAAAAAAAACTATTATTATTTGTTTAGTTTCATGTTATATTTTGATGTCAAACCAACAGTTTCATATTATAATTTCAAAAACATGAAAAATCAAATCAAATCTAAATAATAACTGGATAAGAAAGAAAAAGAAATTATTAAGATAAATCGTTTCATTATAATTTGGTCGACGATGAATGAAAAGATTAAAAAGGAATATTTCAGATTTCAAGAGAATTAGAATCATCACTTGTAGTGAATATTTAGTTATATAGGTGATCACTTCAATATGCACATGTATGTAGGACTGGACAATTTTTTTGTAAATTTTGATTTCATTCATCATCCTTTTCGATTTGAACAAAAAATTTAGATATACGTACTTTTACAAAGAAAAGCAAATACTAATATGCTATATCGATAAAAATGAAGTAAATAACAAATACTAATATTTTAAAAATGGATATTCAAACTGATTGGTTATATGCTTATATATACATATATTTAGTGAACTATATATATGTTATATAAATAATATATTCTATATAATTTTCAAATATTTTAATTTACTAAATTTATAAAATTAAGTACTAATATTCAAAAAAGTAAATAATTTTTTTATGTCAAAAATTTATTATTTTGGATATTTCATTTATTTTAATTCTTTTATTTCTTTTATGGATCAAAATTGGTTGAAATATAATTTTTTCGGGACATGCATCTCGATGGATGGCTATAAATTGAATCAGATAATTTATTCGGACGAAACATATTAGATCACGAATACTTCCAAAACTTCGGATATCTTATTCGTGTCTACTCTTACATGTATGTGTATGTAAAAATATATAAAAGTGGTTGATAAATATATAAATATACCATAATTAACCTTAAAGGAAATTTTTGTTTAAAATAACACATGAATATAATATTTTATTAAAATAAACTATGTAAAAAATAAAATAAACTTAACCAATAGTGAAATTTTTGTTAATTATCTTTGTGTAAAACTTTTTTATAACCCATATAACTATGTATTTAAGTTTTATATTGAAAAATCTAAAATAGTATATAGTGTGATTGTATTTATGTAAAGTTTGACTGAAAAGTTCTATGCACGTGATACGTTATCATAATCATTTTCCAAATCACTATAACGCTATCACGTAACAAAT